CAGCAGCAGCAGCAGAAGGTTTAACGGTCAAATAAAATTGACTGTTTTATGCCCCCGTTAATATACCCTATTCTCAAAACCCTGGCAATCAGTGCAAAAAGGGTAATTTCTGCTGATTAGCAGTTTCTAACCTGATCTCCAATTTTGTACATTCTAACAAAATTCTCTCAGACAATAACTTAATTCTTCTGAAATTAAAACTGTTGAAAAGAAAAGCAAAAAAAAGTTTTTTTTTAAATAAGCCAAAAAAAAACCACACATCTATAGATTTTCTTTGGGGTATGCACTGATGTTCTCGTTAGCACAAAAACTCGATTAAATATGCCTCAAAATTCTCTCATTATCGCCAATTCTTACAAATAAATTTTATCAAATACATCTGTTTCTTTTTTTTGACATTTTTTAAAGCAAAGAAAAAAAAATAAATTTTACATCCCAACAGAATTGCAGTCAAAAAACTTTATTGAATTTTTTTCATGATTTGCACAAATCAAATTGTTATAAAAAATGAAACAATTAGCTTTCTGTACCACTTAGATTATTGTAATTTTCCTAAAAATGTACAATTTTTATACAGTGAAATTTACTCTTCTGTTTAGAAAAAAAAAGAATAAGAAAGTTTAAGAGAAAAGTGATGTTTGAAAAGTTTGTTTTAAACCTAGAAACTTTTCAGTTACTTTTATTACAATTTTTACACAACATTTTACACAATTATTGTATTTTAAAAGTGGAAAACTAGTCAAAATTTTGGTAATGATTTTTGTTTCATACCACGGTAACTGTAACGACAGACCTCTGAAACAGATCTGAAAAACAACGAGTAATTGCAGCTAAATTATAGACTACTTTGACAGGTATAAATTGATTACAAGTTTTACTCTTTCCTTTTTATTTGATTATTAGTTGTTAGTTGGTCATCCTGTCGCTTTTTGAAACCTACTGTTCTTATATCTTTCCAAGATGCAGATGAATATTTGAAAATGAATAAGTGAACAAATTTGTGAGCGTATAGATGCAAAATTTATATGAACGAATATGCAAATAAATAAAGGTGTTTATAAGCGAAATAAATGAATTAATTCATAAATGCGTAAATGACTGTGTGAATTTATCGGTGAAAGGATAGGTGAATAGATGAATTGATCAAATAGTGTATCAATGAGTGGATTTGAGTAAATGATCAATTGTGCGTATATATATATATATATATATATATATATATATATATAAACATATATATATATATATATATATATATATATATATATAAATGAGTATTTAGATTTAATGAGTAGATGTGTGAAAGAGTGAAGAAGTACGTGAACA